GTAACTTGCTGCATGGTCTCTGCTAATTTCTTGCTAATTTCCATCTCAAGTGTTCTCTTTTTGCTAGTTTCCTTTTTTGGATTACTAGGGAGAGGAAAAAGTTAATTGTTTTCTAGAATATCTATTTAATTGTTTTCTCCAGGATAACATAAGTGAATTATTTAGTGGGTAGATTTGATTGTAGAGGGGACCAATTTTTTTCATTTGCAATATTCAGTGCATAAGGCTAACTTTGAACTTAGTTTTGCTCTTCTTGTCATTGAATTGATAGATTGCAAACTGAATAGTCAAAGGAAATCTCAAGGAAGCACGTACAATGTAAGTCCTCTGTACTATTAGATTTACGCATACAAAAATATTTTGACTTTTCTATTGTAGTTATAACATGTTTGATAGAAATAGATTAAATGTACCAAACTGATTTTCTTTCTCTATTGTTCTCTTTTTGGTGTTTCCTAGCATGTGTGAAAAGTCCAAATTTTGTTTCTAATCTTTGTTTCTCTATATTTTCCTTCTCTTGCCATGGGTTTTGTAGAAATTCAGATTAAGTATTTAAAATTGTATTTGAATTTTTAGGGATTTGAAATACATGTAGGTCCAAAAATCGTAATTGATGATGTAAAGCCAACAACTGCGGATGATGACAACGATGGTGATCCCTTGTTCAAATCTCTAAATTGATGTTCGAATCTCTCTTCTTCTCTGAGCGAAATTGTTTGATTTCATGATAGTTTAATAAGAATTTTCTTTTTCCCATCAACTTCACTTGTCTTATCAGTAATGGTGACAAAACAACGAGGAATCTAGAGTTTTTACTTCCTATAACATTTGAGTGAGTAAAGGAAGAGCAAGTGGGGTTTTGGGGGTGTACTTTTTTCACTGAAAACAAGGGAAGAATCCTTTTTAACTTTTTTCTTAATTGTTATATGTGAAAACTCCCATATTGACATAGATAGACTTATAGACTCCAACAATACTTTTTCACAGTTGGGTCTGGCTAACCTAATGCCTTAGGAAGTAGGATCTCTTAAGAAAAACTACTTCTTAAGATATAATTATGTACTATTATTCAAATTGAACTATTATTCAAATATAGTTGTACGAAGAATTTAGCCTGGTTAATATTTTCTTTTAAGTTATTCATTTTCTATGTATTTCAAATAAGGAGTTATGGAGGTTTGTAGGGAAGGTCTCAACAACCTTTCTTTACTTCCTCCCTCAGACAAGCCGCATTCACCTTATTGGATTATACATTTCCAACATCTCTGTTATGCAACAATCTTTTCATACAACTGCGTGGAACTTTTACTTTATTCTTACTTACTATTGATTTTTGATTTTTGCTTCAATTCCCTTATTTATAATTTTTAATTTTTCCAGGTCCAATTTGATGTCGTCAACAATTTTTGATCCTTGAACTTCATCATGTCTTATTTCTTCTTCCAGGCCGTTTTTTTAATATCACATGATTTATTCTTGCTTGTTCCTTGGATAGAAGAAGGCATCAATGGTTGGATCTCTATCCGCCATGGATTGTATCTATTTTAGATGCTTTCCGATTGCTCAAAGTAATCTATGTTTCAGAAGTTATTTTATGAAGCTTTTCATTTTTAGTCTCTATATGAGAGTTTAAAAGTAATCTATTATTATGTCTCTTTTTATGAGAGTTTAATAAGTAAAGATGAATTTTGTTATTATTGTGCTATACATATGTTTCTTGGTAAACTATATCTCTTGTTATTCGTTCTCCTTTGTTTTCATTATCTCGGCGACCTACACTAAGTACGGATAAAAAAAGAATGGAAGGGTTTTTACTCTTCTATTTACATGTTCGTCTTTTCCGAGTTGAAATTGACCACTTTATAGGATCTTCTCAACCATGTTATCCTTCTTTTAAGTTAGGTCCCATTTTATTTTCTCTATATTTATTTATTTATTTTGTTTGTATTATTATTTACTATATGTTTTGTTTTCTATACTTATTATGCTATTGGTGATCCTAGGTACTCGTTGATGCTTATTTCTTCTCCACGGTTGTTGCTTTCTTATGTCTTTTCTTGTTCCAGACGGTTTGGTTAATTATGATTTTGCTCTTTGTTAAAGGCTAACCGTGGTTTACCTTTCATGTTTCTTGGATAAGAAAAGGACATTAATGGTTGGATCTTTGTCTGCCACGGATTGTATCTGTATTTACGGATACTTCTACCCTATCTTAAAAAGAAAAAGAAAGAATGAACTTATCTTTTTCTTTTCTTCTTTTTTTTTTTTTTTTTTTTTTTTTTTTTTTTTTTCAATTTAAAAATTTTTTTTTTTTTTTTTGCAATTGAATAATTTAGTTCTTTTATACCATCTCTTATATTTTGATGTTTCGTAGGTCCAACATGATGTCTCCATCAAGCTCATGATCTTAGGATCTTTATGTCCTTTTCTTCTTCCAGGCAGTTAAATAAATCTTATGTGTTGTTTTTCTTACATCGCGTGATTTCTTCTTATTTGCTCTTTAGATAGAAAACGACATTATTTGTTTGGATTTCTTTCCACCACGGATTGTATGTCTTTCTACTCTACTCAAAAAAAGAAAAAAAAATCAAATTGTTTGTAAAATTTGAGGTTTTAAATTGCTTGTAATTGATGAAGATAAGTTTTCCTTATGAACTCAAAAAGTTTATAAAATGAGTTGAATTTCTTGATTATAACGAAAATGACTTCTATTGTGGAGAGTTCTCATATTTTCAAATCAATAGCTATTTGTTCAGTTGCTTTATTTGTTTCCCAAATTGTAAACTGATATAAAGTCTCACATTCTAAAATTTGTGGCTTTTCTTTTCCTTGCATGTTCAGTCTTAGAATTTTCGTTATTATTAAACTTCCTACTATGGATTTCTAGGTATTAGTGCGAATGAGGCCACCATGCAAAGACAAGGATGAAGAAATGATAGTTCTGAAAATTTCTAATGATTCTTTGGCAATCAATGGAAAAACTTTTACATTCGACTTGGTTGCAGACAGAGGCAACGCATGTAAGGTCTTCATGGAGATGTGAGTTTCTCCAGATACTTAAATGAATAGTTTGCTTTAACCTTTAAATGATTGAGTTTGATCACAACTTTCTGTTGCTGCTAGATATTTTCCACCTTATGGGAGCACCACTTGTTGAAAATTGTATGACATGTTTCAACATTTCCATTTTTGCCTATGGACAGGTATGTTGAATTTGCCCTTGTTTTGTGATGTGTTGTGATATATAATAACGGAAAGACAAGGATGAAGAAATGATAGTTCTGAAAATTTCTAATGATTCTTTGGCAATCAACGGAAAAACTTTTACATTCGACTTGGTTGCAGACAGAGGCAACGCATGTAAGGTCTTCATGGAGATGTGAGTTTCTCCAGATACTTAAATGAATAGTTTGCTTTAACCTTTAAATGATTGAGTTTGATCACAACTTTCGGTTGTTGCTAGATATTTTCCACCTTATGGGAGCACCACTTGTTGAAAATTGTATGACATGTTTCAACATTTCCATTTTTGCCTATGGACAGGTATGTTGAATTTGCCCTTGTTTTGTGATGTGTTGTGATATATAATATGCGTAACATATATGAAAAGTGATTGTTGTTAGACGGGATGTGGGAAAGACTTGTATGATGCGGGGTCCAGCCAACACATTGTTGGATTGAAAGCATTTCTATCTATCAACAAGGTTTAACTCCTCGAGTTTTTGAGCGTCTCTTTGCTTGGATAAACGAGGTAAATTTATTATGTCTTTTGTATTGTTCTAATTTAATTTTATATCATATATATGCTGCAAGCTGTTTGTGGAACTTCTTTCTATGGGAGCAAAAGAAGAATGCTGATAGACAACTCAAGTATCAGTGTCACTATTTCTTTTTTGAGGTAGATTTTTGGTGTAATTGGCTTATTTTAACTGTATAATTTCTTCCATTAACTCATTAACTGATTTTTGCATATTTAGAATGAATAGATTACATATTTATTAGATCCTAGTCAAAGAAATACTCAGGTAAGGAGGACTTTTTTTTCCCTTTTTAGAAGTTCTTATTATAGTGCTACTTATGAGGGCTGTTATCAACTTTTTTCTCTAGATAAGCGAAGATGCTAAATTAGGGATCTATGTTGAAAATCTCACAGAGTGTTTACGTACAATGTCAGATGTAAAGCAGCTTTTAATGAAGGTTTGCTCTGTAATGCCACATAGTTAAAATGCTTTTTTTTTAATTAAGTTTTGAAACTGTGATATATAATATGCGTAACATATATGAAAAGTGATTGTTGTTAGACGGGATGTGGGAAAGACTTGTATGATGCGGGGTCCAGCCAACACATTGTTGGATTGAAAGCATTTCTATCTATCAACAAGGTTTAACTCCTCGAGTTTTTGAGCGTCTCTTTGCTTGGATAAACGAGGTAAATTTATTATGTCTTTTGTATTGTTCTAATTTAATTTTATATCATATATATGCTGCAAGCTGTTTGTGGAACTTCTTTCTATGGGAGCAAAAGAAGAATGCTGATAGACAACTCAAGTATCAGTGTCACTATTTCTTTTTTGAGGTAGATTTTTGGTGTAATTGGCTTATTTTAACTGTATAATTTCTTCCATTAACTCATTAACTGATTTTTGCATATTTAGAATGAACAGATTACATATTTATTAGATCCTAGTCAAAGAAATACTCAGGTAAGGAGGACTTTTTTTTCCCTTTTTAGAAGTTCTTATTATAGTGCTACTTATGAGGGCTGTTATCAACTTTTTTCTCCAGATAAGCGAAGATGCTAAATTAGGGATCTATGTTGAAAATCTCACAGAGTGTTTACGTACAATGTCAGATGTAAAGCAGCTTTTAATGAAGGTTTGCTCTGTAATGCCACATAGTTAAAATGCTTTTTTTTTAATTAAGTTTTGAAACTTTTGACAGTAAGAACCTTTAAAGAAAGCTCGTGTTGCCTTACCTCTAGAAGTTTGCACTCAATCTTTTTCGAACACCCTGGTTGGCTCTTTCAAGCACCCACGTAGTTGATAATTGCTTCCCCCTATTTCTGATTTCATTGATATATATTTAGTCATTGATGATTAGAATCTTTGCATTCAACAGCTCAAATGAAACTTTGCATTCAATTAGTTGCGACCTATGTTTCTTCTGGTACATTGAGAATATCTCCTAGGGCTAATTACATTTAGTTAAGGTAATATATGAGTGACAAATAGTTTTTTTTCCCTTTCCCTTCTTCTTCTACTTCTTATTCTTCTTTGGTTAAAATAACAATAACAAAAGAGAACGTAAATTGTTGATGATATAAATATTTGTCTTCAATTTGCATCTCCAAGTATGTAAAACTTGAAAAAAAGATGAAAAGTAAAATTAGTCAAAAGTGGATTAGCAACATGATGACTATATTAGCTCTTACAAAATAGAAAAATAAGTCATTATTAAGTCCTGCTTATCTAACGTATTAAAGAAACCATCAAGACTAACACATTAAAGAAAACATGAAGACTATGTTAAACTAAAAGAAATGACGAGGGAATGGTATTCTGTCAATCTAGCTTGCAATATATCTTACTGATGAAGTTATTCCTTATTTATTGGGTGTACTCTTTAGCATGTTATGATTTGCATCGAAGAATTTAGTTTTTCTTTTGCTCTCAAATTTCTCTCATTTTATTCAAATTTTATTTCAATCTAGCATGTTATGAAGTTATTCCTTCTCGGTTAGGATTTTGTTTTCCTCTTTTTTTTTTTTGGCTATTTCTTATCATTTTGATATGTTTAGCGTCAAGATCTTTGTTTCATGAAAAGAAATTTTCCTTTTGAGAACGTGGATTATGGGTTCAACTTGAAAGTGTTGTGGATGATGCATGACTTCTACTTCCATAAAGATTTCTTTTTTTTTTTAATTTCTTTGTTTTGTTGTTTCTTGCACTTGGGTTGCATAACACCATAAACTATATAAATTGTATCTGTGGACAGAAAAGATGGGATTCTTATAGCAACTGAGATTAATTTTTGACAAATTTTAGCCACAATTTTTGATTTGTGATTTAGATCTTTTATGTTGTGAAAGTGAAAATTTCTTTTGCCATTCACTAGCTTTGTTTGATTGCAGCACTCTGACCAGCATTCACCAAAAGTACGCCATCTACTTCTTAGCAGGTGAAATGCTTATTCCCTAAGTCCTAATTTTCAATTACGCTAAAATCCTTCTTTTATCGTTTTCGCATCCTTCTCCATTAGGATTCTATGCACATTGTTGCTCTTAATTTATTTTAGCCCGCACATTCTCTTGTTTGCAACCATTTTTCAGAGCATAAAGCGTGGACATTTATTTTGACATTTGATTTGCATACATTTGTCTTGTTATTTCCTTTATTTATTTATTTTTCTTTACCTTTTATTTGTCGTTAGCCTGTTTTAGGTGAAAGTCGTTGTCCTCTTTTATCTTTATAAAAACTTTATTTGATTGATTGTTATATCTTTAATCTTCAGGTTGTTTCCTTTTGATGGTTTATTTTTCTACTTTCTATATTGCGTTCTTTGCTTTTCAAGGTGTCGTTTTATTTCTTAATTGTGACGTTGCTTGTGCTGTTTCAACGTATTAAAGGAGAGGATTGGTGGGATTGCTGGTATCGAATTTGAGTTGGTACTTTTCAAGTTGAGTGAGAAAAGTGTGGTGAGGGTTTGACTCTGTATGTTCAGTGTCTTCGTCTCTAACAGAGGCTCTCCTTCGAGCCTCTTCATGACTGGTTCTTGCTTGCTTCCCTTGGAACTCCACCCCCTTTAAAAAAGGGTGATATGTCTCTCTCCCTCTCTAATATTTGAACTATTTTATTTTATTATTTGCTTCTCTGACTTGTGATAATGTGGCATCTTTTTATGAGTTTTTGTAGGTTAAAGTGGTTTGTTCATAAAATGCGATCTTGTTATTTCCTCGTAACATTACCATTATTCATTCCATATATGGTTGCTTTTGTTGAAAGAGTTAGGAATCTCTTGAGTCTTGCCTCGGAGCTGCAGGGAGGGAATTGATTTGAGTGGTTCCTGGATCCTTCTAATTTTAGTCGTAGGGGCATAAGTCTTTCGGAAGTTGCTATACTATCAATCTTTTGAGGTATTTGGCTAGAAAGGAAATGAAGGACTTTTTAAAATACTGGGGGGATAGTTTTGTTTTGTGGGATAAACTGAAATTTTGGGTTTTTTTTTTTTATATTTTTTTTTCTCTCTCATTTTTTTATATATATTTTTTCTCTCTCATGGGTATACTGATATAGGGACTTTGGTAATCCAAGTTTTTTTTGTTAGCTTTGGGTGCTGATTAGGCTGAGTCATGTATGGGCCTTAGCTCCTTCTACCACACTTGAGGGTCCATTCAACTATGGTGAGTTTTCTTGTCTCTCACTCTCTCTTCTAATTTATCAAGTAAGATCTTACTCGGTTAATCCCCAAAATTATGAGTTTTTTTCCTGCTGGAATCTTACTATTCAACAACTTAGTATTGAAGGGAACATTGCAATAAATATGGAAATAATGGTTATGGTTATTCTATTATAAATCTAGGTTCTTTTTAGTCACTGTTCGAGAACGAGGTTCATTCCTTTTGTGCTCCTTTTTTTTTGGTTTTGGTTTTGATTTTTTCTCTTTTCTTTCTAAGGTTGCCTCCCACCCCCTCTGTTTCCTACTCTTTTCTCCTCCGGCTTTTTTCTCTATCCTTTTGTTTCACCTCTCTCCGCCTTTTGTTTGTGCTTTCCTTCTATGCATTTGGATGAACAAAGAGCCATCAATTTTTGCGACCATTACCAGAGTGGTTGTTGTCTGTTCCATCTGTTTTCATTTTAATTATTTGAAACATATATGTGCACTTGCATACCTGCGAATCTCTTGTGTAATGGGTAACTTTGTGAGATATAAACACCGAATATTGTTGTTGCTAGTGTGTTATATCCATTCTTAGAAAGAAAGGGTGTTAGTTCCATTAAGAAAACATCAATCTTATGATCAAATGTTGGCAAGCATTTCTTAGTTGCCCGTAACTTGTTTGGTAAATCTGTCCTTGTTGCTAGAGTGTTATATCCATTCTAAGAAAGAACGGGTATCAGTTCCATTAAGAAAACATCAATCTTATGATCAAATGTTGGCAAGCATTTCTATAGTTGCCTGTAACCTGTTGGGTATAATGTCTGATAGATAACAACTCACCATAGTTGCTATGATAAATAGCAGTCATATGATTACAAATGTCCTCCATTAATTATTCAATTCATATTTTTGTTATGTGATTCCTAATATGTGTGATCATGTAAATCTGTCCTTGTTGGTGGTAATAAGGTGCCAGTATTTATGCTTGTGTTTTATCCTACCCACACTGCTTGCTTCGACACATCTTTCATATCAGAGGTAATGAATTTAGTTGCTGCACACACACACATAGATGTGTGTGTAAATTTTTGGAATGATGAATAATAATCATAGCTAGATTTGTTACTCTTGATGATCTCTGATGTAGAATGACTTCATGTAGGGAGTTCTAGAACTCAAGATCGGATGATAGCTGTTGATACTAAGCCCGTAGATCCTACATGTGATTGATTTTGAACCCATCATTTTATTTATTTATTTATTTTTGGGAACAAGCATTCAGGCTGCATGTGATTGCTTGGTATGAATGTGATAGAACTATCAACGATCTCCAATAGTTTGTATGTTAATAGCACATTATTTTTCTTCTTTAGATGTAACCCCCTCTATGTCTGCCGAAATTACCCTAGAACAGTAGAGCCTAGATCCAATGCCTTGTTACAGTAGACACAATAGAATCTCAGCTTGTGTCATATCACATCCGCTCAAGTTTGAACATTTCCTGATTATGTTTCTCCTTTTGATATTTCATTTCTTTCCAATGGTTACAGTGCATATTTACACTCGTCAACAAACAATCAAGGGAAATGTTCCTTTGTATGATCTCGTTTTGCATGTTTGCTGTGGATGTTGAACACTACTAATATGCTTTTTCTTCTTTGTTTCAACCTCATTATTGCTAACATTTTGTTAAACCTTTTGTAGTCCTTATTCTAATTGCTTAAGAACTATATATAGCCCTTCAACTTCATTTCTCTTAATTTATTTCACAGAGCCCTTCAACCTCATCAAATCTTTCATATAATACGTCATGTGGTGAATTGAAGATGAAAAACCTTGTTTTTCTATTATATTTGAATGTTTACACGGCAACATACATATATACAGCACCTGTTACGACCCATATGCCTAATCCAGGTCCAGGTACAGATGGGCCTCACACGGGGCCCAAACCCTGGCGGGTCTATCGAAGGAGGAAGGAGTTGGTTACAAACGGTTACAGGATTAGCAAATGAGGGAGCGACGCATGGCAGGCTAGTTGCGTTAGCTAGGGGATTTAGGAGCTGGGGGGCGGCGTTAGTGGGTGGG